CCCACTCAGGAGAAGGCGGCACAGCACGTGGACTGATCGCCATCTGTCTCCATCTGTGCGGGGATTGAGTGTTGCCCCCTCGTGCTCTGGTTTCTTCCCCACGTGTCGAATAATAATACTAAACAGAAATCATCAGTAATTGGCTGGAAGCATCTGAAAACAAAAATCCGATTTAACGGCAGGACCCTGGATTAGTGAGTACATTATAATAATAATCAAATACGTGGCACCGAAACAGGCACTCAGTTAATGCTGAGTCGACCTAGGGGAGACCAAAAACATGGATCAGATATTCGTCACCGAATATTTAATGGGAGCGACAATCCGTCTCGGGTTGCCGGCTTCGTAGCGCACAGCGCTAACCGCTGCGCCACCGTTCTCCATGCACGCAAAGACAAAGGTCACCCGTATAGCCTTTGCACAGACTGTTGGGGTAAGGGCTGTTAGCGGCCACCTATGAAGGTGCACGCGTGCGCACACGCTACACCCACACACAAGACACTCATTCATGCGCAAACGCGCAAACACAAAGGCAGACGTGTGGTGGCAGTCGGAGTTTCCCGTAAAAGGCGTTTTTTTTTAAATAAACAAAGACAAAGATCCCCCGTATAGCCTTGCACACAGACTGTTGGGGCAGAGGGCTGTTAGCGAGCGCCTATTGATGCCGGTACAGCACACGTGGGGGGGGGGGTAGAGATGTTAACTCCCTCGCCTGGTGTACAGGAGGTCGTGGGCTTGATCTAGACCCTGACGCCTGCTGAATGTATATTTGGAGTTTGCGGTGTCTCTCTCTCCCCATGGTCGCGTGGATATTTCTCCGGGTCCTTTGGTTCTTACCTCCGCATTTAGAAACACCCATTATTTGGCTGCTATGCATCGCCACGCGATAAACCACTTCTTAGAGCTATCATGTGTGGCCAGGTCGAATTGGCGCTTCTGAAAAAGAGCAATATAGCTCAGTGGGCCTTAGCTGGTAAAATAATAGTTTAGTTGAATATACACTACTTCATCAGGTAATAATTTAAGGCGCTGTCGACCTAGGGGAGGCCCAGGACTGGTTAATATATTCCCCACTGTTATTATTATCGTGAGCAGGGAGGGAACTCGGGTGGGCTGTAGCGCAAAGCGCTTACCCATTTACACTCTCGCCCCCCACATTTAAATAAACAGAGACAGAGTACCCCCACGTACACACACGCATTCGCGTTCACACAGGCAGACAAGCACACACTCACGCAGACACCCAGCTGAAGAAAGACAAGGTTCCTCTCGTGTAGCCTTAACAGACTGTTGGGGCAAGTGCTGTTAGCGAGTAGCAGCACCTATGAAGGCCGACACGGCACACGATGGGGTGGGTGGCCAGCACCACGCCCGGCCGCCTTTTTTCTCCCTCGTGGCCAAGTTTACACAACGCACCAGGTACTCAGTTGAAACTGACTCGACCAGCACACGCATGCACTGACACACACATGCACACACGCACACCCCCACGAACACGTGGTCGTGGAGGACAGACTCACTCATCACATCTGGAAAGCATCTGTTGGGGACCGCGTGAGTGGGCGGTCAGCTGATACCACCACCACTTCCAATGATGTTCCTACCATCACCTCTGATACCATCGCTATTGTTACTATTGTGTTCATTTAAAACTATTAACAAAACGCTTTAATATAAATTTTACCAAGCAAGGCCCCACGAAGCTATGTAGCTCTGTCAGAAGCCGCTTGGCCACAAAATTACAGCTCAGCGAAGTGGCTCATTACGTGGAAATCTATCTCAGCTAAATGTGGAGGGGAAAACCCAGAAAAATCCCTGAGACCACAGGAAGACAAACACGCAAACTCAAATATACAACAGGCCTCAGGGTCAAGATGGAACCCACAACCTCCCGCATACCAGGCGAGGGAGTTAACATCTCGCCACCACAGCACCCTTACATATATACATGTGCATACTGCTGGTCAGTTGCCGATTGATATCAGTCATGGCCTGAAGCCGAACTTAGTTCACGGCACACCCCTGCAAATCTGGTCATGTCCAGCGGCTGATCTGAACGCTGCTTGTCCCTGTTATTGGGCAAGTCCACACTTGTACCACACCAGCCACGTCCCCCTCTCGAGCCCCTATGGTCCGGCCAAACAGAAGCTGCTTGGGCATGCAGTGGCTGGGCATGTGGGCTACGTAACCCAGCCAACGCAGCCTCCTCGGCTGTAAGAGGAAGTCATTAATGGGACCGTGTCCAGATCTTTTAAGGATCTGCGAGCTCCTCGGCACTGTAAATCCAGCCGGGCTAAACCAGCCGGCATGGATCGCAGGCAGTGGCCCAGCTGGAATGTTTCCAAGTGACACAGGTGTTCCGGTCAGTGGGCCCACGCTCCGTAAGCGTGGAGGAGAGAGAGGGTGCATCGATTGGCGAGAAGACCCGGTTTGTAAGCGAGCCCTCCGTTGTCAAACCTGAGCCGCCCCTGAGCACCGCTGCCCGGGTACTATGAACTCCTCCTCCACCCCTCTCTCTCTCTCTGAATCCACCGTGGGGTTGTCGAGACTGATAACCCAGAGTGTCAAGGCAGATGTTTTTGTTGGGGCTGATGGAATAGACACATACACATATAGGAGACAAAGACAAAGATCTACCCATATAATGATCTTCGACTGACTGTGAGGGCAAGTGCATTTAGCGAGTACCTATTAGGGCTGGCAAGGGGCATGAGGGGTGGGTGGCCAACACCAGTCCCGACCACCTTTGTCTGATGATGAGGATGATGAATATAGGACGATGACAATGAGGACGAAAATGATGCTAGGATGGCTCAGTGATGATGCTGATAACGATTACCACCACCACCACTACCACCACCACCTCCTCCTTATTGGTTCCTCCCAACAAACCCACGTGGTGGGCTCCAAGCAACCTGCCATGTGTCCGCCACATGGCACGCCAGCCCCGCGTCTCGCTCGACGTGTCACCACCACCATCGCCGCTGTCACAACCACCACCACCACCACCAAACAACAATAACCACCGTCTTCCGGCCTCTCAGCCCTTGCCACCACCAGCGTCACTGTTACATCCCCCCCCACCACCCGCACCCCCCACAATCACCCTCCGTCCACACCCCCAACTCATCCAACACCAAAAATCCCCAGCCCCCCTTACCCCCTCCCCCCACCGCCCCCCACCAATCCACGTACTCCAGCCGAGCAGCGTGTCGGAGAATGATCGGTGGGAATGTAAGCTCCGATACATCTTAATCGTCTGTAACACCTGGTATGCCACAGGCAGCCTCCAATCATCCAATGCACGAACCAGGCTCAAAGACCTGCTTAGCTTCCGAGACTCTGAAGAGATCATCGGCAACATCTCTCGCCTAAACTCCTGGCGGGTTGACGCGCGAGTCATTGTGACGAAAAGCGAATTAAAAAACTGTCTCCAAGTCTCTTTTAGTAAAGGGAAATCGGCACAAGAACAAACTCCGCGCGCGTTACACGAGAGACACAATAACCAAAAAACAATCCATGTGCAAACGTGATCAGTGTTGAAATGATAACATTTTTCGGTCGAATTAAAAAGAAGTTAACTCGGAGATATCAAAATACATTTCACGATAACCCAAAGAAATGTACATGTTGGAGAAACACCAACGGCGCGACGGGGTCATTTACTAAGATGGGTGACAACTCGGGATTTGACATCTCAGGTGGCGCCCGTAGCCAGAGGTGGATCTAGGACCCTCGCAGGTGAGTTCGGGGGCGGGGGCAGAAGTCCCAAGATCTACCCCCAAAACCACCCCGTCGCATTCATTAATCAACAAAACGTGCCATGCATTTTCTCTGCGGAATATCAACAAAATACTAATTTGTGGGGTCTCAAGTAGCAGGGCTGGGGGGGGGGTCGACAACTACCCCCGATCGCCCCCCCCCCCCCCCCACCGATCATCCCTCCGTATACCCAGCACTGCTCTGGGTCTGTGGACCGAGACAGGCGCTCTGATCTCGTACATTTTGTTACGATTTTACTTAGCAGGCAAGGCCCACAGTGAGCTACAGTGAGGGAAAAAAGTATTTGATCCCCTGCTGATTTTTTACGTTTGCCCACTGACAAAGAAATGGTCAGTCTATAATTTTAATGGTAGGTTTATTTGAACAGTGAGAGACAGAATAACAACAACAAAATCCAGAAAACGCATGTCAAAAATGTTATAAATTGATTTGCATTTTAATGAGGGAAATCAGTATTTGACCCCCTCTCAATCAGAAAGATTTCTGGCTCCCAGGTGTCTTTTATACAGGTAACGAGCTGAGATTAGGAGCACACTCTTAAAGGGAGTGCTCCTAATCTCAGCTTGTTACCTGTATAAAAGACACCTGTCCACAGAAGCAATCAATCAGATTCCAAACTCTCCACCATGGCCAAGACCAAAGAGCTCTCCAAGGATGTCAGGGACAAGATTGTAGACCTACACAAGGCTGGAATGGGCTACAAGACCATTGCCAAGCAGCTTGGTGAGAAGGTGACAACAGTTGGTGCGATTATTCGCAAATGGAAGAAACACAAAAGAACTGTCAATCTCCCTCGGTCTGGGGCTCCATGCAAGATCTCACCTCGTGGAGTTCCAATGATCATGAGAACGGTGAGGAATCAGCCCAGAACTACACGGGAGGGTCTTGTATACCAGGCGAAGTAGTTAACATCTTGCCACCGTGGCGCCCAGGAAAGCCGAATGGAGTCTCAAGACTGGTTTTCACAATGAAGGGGGGGGGGGAGGTTGGTCGGGGCGATGTTGTTGCTGCTGCTGTGTGATCTCAATCGATTACATTTGCAGTGTTAATTTTTCCAGCATTGAGGGAGATAACATTTCGCCACGACGGTGTACCGATGGAGGGCCGGGGGTCGGGCGGGGGAGGAGGGGGGGTAGGGAGGGGGGGGGCAGCGGGGGGGGGGGGGACGGAAGGGTGGGGGACGGAAGGGGGGGGGGGCGCTCGGCGGCGTTCCTTACCGTACATCTTGCCCTCGTCGGACAGGATGATCTTCCTGCGCCCGCACGGCGGGTAGATGGCGAGCGCCTCCTGGAAGCTCTGCTCGATGTCCGGGGACCACACCCCCTCAGCGTCGTTGTCCAGCGGCTTGTCATTGGGCCCCCCGCTCCCCGCGCCGCCCCCACCCTCCGCGCCGCTGTCGTCCGCGTCCTCGTCCTCGCTCGAGCCCCCATCCCCGGGGGGGCCCTGGGGGGCCATCCCCCCCCCGCCCAGGAGGGAGTGGGGGTGGTGGTGGGGGGGCAGGCCCCCGCCACCGGGCCCCGGCCACTGAGAGGCTATGGTGCCGTTGGGGGGGTGGGGGGCTGTGTGTCGGGGAGAGGGGGGCAGGGGGTGTCGCGGTGGTTTGGTTGGAGACGTCGGTTGTTGTTGTTGTTGTTTGTTGTCGTTGTTGTTGCTGTAGGGTGGCGTGTTTCTATTGTCGTGTTGCCCCCCGCGCCACCACCTCGTCGCCCCCCTGCCCCCTCTCGCCCGCCCTTTGTCTTCCGAGGGTTCGGAGAGATTCACTCACGGGCAGGGGTGCCCCCCCCCCCCACACACTTCACACCACCCCCCCTCACCCCCCCCCCCCAATGCTTCCTCCGCTTTCACCGTGGCACAGCGTCAGTAGCAGCAGGCGCGGAGAGGTCGTGGCTGTGTGAGGTCACCGCGACCTCCCTCCCTCTCTCCCTCCCCCTCTCTCTCTTCGTCTCGCCTCTCTGTTCCTTCTCCCGATAGTTCTCTTGTTGAGACGAGGGGGGTCGCTTCGATCGGTTGAGAGGCGACCTGGATACACACACACGCACACAAACACAAAGACCCCCCCGTATAGCATTAACAGGATGTCAGGGCAAGTTCCGTTAGCGAGTAGCAGCACCTATGAAGGGTGGCATGGCGCACGAGGAGGTGGGTGGTCACACCCACGCCCGGCCGCCTTTGTCTCCCCAGTGGCGATGTTTACTACCAACAGCACCACGGTACACATGTTGAGGCCGAGTCGACCTAGGGGAGTGCCCAGGTCCGGTTCAGACATTCGTCACCAGTGTTGGCTGTGGCTGTCTTCACAAAATACAAGAACGCAGTGACTACCTCTTTGCAATATTACGTTATTACTGCTCTAATTAAATTAAAGTTAAAACGTGGGACGTAAATGAAAGCGTTTCCATGAGAAAGTGTATTTAAACCGCGTTTAAAATAGGGTTTTGTTCTTGATTAATCTGTTGCTGAAAACATCTCTTGGTGGTTGTCAAGGAGGCCCCAACTCGTTGCTTTGGCCATCAAGAGGGGGGGGGGAAGGCACCCCCTGCCCCCCCCCACGCTTGTCACACGACTGCCTCTGTCTCTCTGTCACCCCCCGCTCACCCACTGCTCACCCCTCGATCTGTCTCACTCACCCCTCACTCACCCACCACTCACCCCCCTCTCTCTCACACTCTCGCTCACCCACTGCTCACCTTGCTGTCTCTCTCACTCACTCACTCACCCCTCTCTCACTCACCCACCACTCACCCATCTCTGTCTTTCTCTCTCACTCACTCACCCACCGCTCACCCCCCTCTCTCTCACACTCTCGCTCACCCACTGCTCACCTCGCTGTCTCTCTCACTCACCACTCACCCCTCTCTCTCACTCACCCACCACTCACCCCTCTCTGTCTTTCTCTCTCACTCACTCACCCACCGCTCACCCCCCTCTCTCTCACACTCTCGCTCACCCACTGCTCACCTCGCTGTCTCTCTCACTCACCACTCACCCCTCTCTCTCTCTCACTCACCCACCACTCACCCCTCTCTGTCTTTCTCTCTCTCTCACTCACTCACCCACCGCTCACCCCCCTCTCTCTCACACTCTCGCTCACCCACTGCTCACCTCGCTGTCTCTCTCACTCACCACTCACCCCTCTCTCTCACTCACCCACCACTCACCCCTCTCTGTCTTTCTCTCTCACTCACTCACCCACCGCTCACCCCCCTCTCTCTCTCACTCAACCACCACTCACCCCTCTCTGTATATCTCTCACTCACCTCTCTCTCTCACACTCACTCCTCGCTCACCCACCGCTCACCCCTCTGTCTCTCTAACTCTCTCTCACTCAGTCCTGGCTGATCCCCTCGTAATTTACTCCCACTCACCACCTCTCTACATCAAATGGAGAATCTGAGGAGAGTGGTAAAGGAGTGCGAAATCAAGTTGGGACATTTGTTGTGTTTTCGGTCAGATGAAATCAGCCCCCCCCCCCGCCCCCGAATATTCAACAACTTGGCCCGACATAAACTGGACATTTTTCTCTCTCAAAATAACCAAAACAATCACCTGAGCAGCTATTCCACTTAGCCATATTTCTCAACAACATCAAAATATATATATTAAATAATCAACCAAATCGTTTGGTGGAAGGTTTTTTTTTTTAACGCAGGGAAACTACGGAGACAAGAAAAATGCTCATCCCTTCCCCCTGTCTCACCCGGCTTAGGCTCGCGTGCAAGTGCTAGCCCTTGCTCAATCCGCTGCTGGTTGAAGGCCTCCCTCAGGCGCGTGTTGCTCAACGCTTTCCCATTGCGATGCCGCATCCCACGCGGCTCAATGCGCGCCAGCTGATACCGCCGCTCCGTCTCCGCGACGGACGTCCTCACGGGCGCGATGCTTCTTTTGGCTGCCACTCCGTCGTTAGTCTCGACCGCCGACTCATCCATCACCCCGCTCCCTAGCCGCGAAGCGCGTCCTGCCCAAGCCATTCTTACTTTTTGCTGGCGTTTGGTCTCCAATCTCCAATCTTCTTTGCATTCCTCCTCTGTCCGCCTCTAATCGCAATGCCAAGGTGTCAATTGCCCCATGTTTCTTTGCACGCACTTTTTAAAAAAATGTTGTTGTCGTGTTCCTTCACAATAATCTTTCATCTTAACGGGGTCGTCGACATGATTCGCACACAAACACACGCACAAACACACACACAAACACACAAACACACACAAACACACACACACAAACAAAGAAAGAAGATCCCCCATATAGCCTTAACAGACTGTAGGGGCAAGTGCTGTTAGCGAGCACCTATGAAGGCCGGAACGGTACACGAGGGGGTGGGTGGCCAGCACCACGCCCGCCCGCCTTTGTCTCCACACACAAACACACACAAACAAACACACACACACAAACACACACAAACAAACACACACACAAACAAACACACACAAAAACACACACACAAACAAACACACACAAACAAACACAAACAAACACACACACAAACACACACAAACAAACACACACACACACAAACACACACACACAAAGACACACAAACAAACACAAACACAAACAAACACACAAACACAAACAAACACACAAACACAAACACACACAAACACACACACACACAAACACACAAACAAACACGCACACACACAAACACACAAACAAACACATACACACAAACACACAAACAAACACACACACAAACAAACACACAAACACACACACACAAACAAAACACAAACACACACACAAACAAACACAAACAAACACACACACAAACAAACACAAACAAACACACACACAAAAACACCCTCCTTGCTTCTTGCTCCAATTGGCTGACGTGGGTTAATTGACGCTGAATGCTTGAACACGTGACGGCGAGGAGGGCCCAGCCGTCAACGTGAGCGCGACGGGACGGCTGCTGGGCGTGCACTTTAAATGTAAATAAAAGACAAAGGCCGCACCTCCCATCGGATAGCCTTAACAGGCTATTGGGACAAGTGCAGTTCGCGAGTAGCACCTATGAATGCCGACACGGCGCACGAGGAATGGGATGGGTGGCTAGCACCACGCGAGACCGCATACGTCTCCCCAGTACCGATTTTTAACACCGCACCAAATCCTCATTTGAGGCCGTGTTGAGCTCGGGAAGTGGCCAGGGCCGGTTCAGGCATTCATCGCCGATGTTGGCTTTGAGCCGGATTCGAAATCAGGTGACCGGGTTCGAACTCGGGCCACCGGGTTCGTAGCACACTGCGCAAACCACGGCGACACCATTCCCCTTTAAGTACAAGCACAGATAAATGCGTGTCTGAATGTGAGTTCACTTGAGGGAGGAGGCCCAAGGACCGCTTCAGATATTCGCCTCGTACACACAAAGACAAAAAGCCCCCCCCCCCCGTATAGCCTTACGATGCTGCTGAGGGCAAGTGCAGTTTGACGAGCAGCGCCTACGAAGGCCGGCACGGCGCACGAGAGGGCGGTTTGGCCAGCACCAAGCAAAGGCCGTCTTTGTCTCCCTCGCCCCAGGGCCGTTCTTTTCATTTAAAGCCGAGTCGACCCGTGGGAGGGCCAGCACGTAACACAGCGCGCTAACCACTACATTACCGCTTCTCACACGTGCATAGAATGTATTTACAGCTTATATAGAACACGCATTTATAATTTTTCGCTTACAGCACTTGCCCCATCAGTCTGTGAATGCTATAAGGAAAATCGTTGTGTTTATGTGTGTGTGTTTTAGTGTGGAGCGGTGGGGCAGTGGTTAGCGCACTGCACTACGAACCCTGGCCACCCGAGTTCGATTCCGGCTCACCACCAACATCAACGACTCAACAATCTGGGAGGCACGCCGTGCCGGCCTTCGGTGCTGATCGCTGACAGCACTTGCCCCATCAGCCAAGCAGGAGCTACACGGGGGATCTTTGTCTATTTTAGTCCTGTATCTCGCTGTAAAGCTTGTTTAATCACCACTCGTCCGCTGAGCATAAACTAAAGTAAATAATTTACCAAAGTTCGCGACCCTTTACTTCATTAAAGGTTGCGAGGTCTCAGTGGGGGCGGGTACGTTGATGGGGAGGGGGAGAGTTCTAAACAAGACTGAGCAGACGACGCCGTGACGAGTCTAGTTTCATGACAGTTCCATTCATCGATTGGCGCGAGTAACGCCGGGTTCGATTTGTCGTCGATGATGGACGCAATGGATTCACGTGACCCCTGCAGCCACTAGAGGCGCTACCATTCGCTGCGGGTTAGTATTAAAAAATGAACGCTTGGATGAAATCGCCGGAGTTTAAATTCCCGGAGCTCGCACGACGATTGCTATTCGCTTTTTGCTTGTTCGAAAAAAGTGCAAATTATTTTACGCTGGCGGTGACTCGGAGAGGCCTTCATCCAGCAGTGGACTGACCGTGGCTTAACGATGATGTTGATTTTAAGTTGATTTAATCTATTCATTCACGCACGATTCGATGCACGCACCACGAGTTGTTCTAAACATACGGTGTCTGCTATAGCGACCCACCACCCCCCCAAAAAAAATATTGTGAAAAAGAGCTTTATAGCTCATCGGATTCCTCCAGCACGAATAAATATTCTTATTCTGAAATGAAGACAACTGGTCCCCCCGGGGGCTCCAGCTGCCCCCCTCAATCGCCCCCCCCCCCACCCCACTCCCCGCCCCCACCAGCATATTTACTAAGGATGCAAAACACACAGAGATTGTATATGGCCACGACTTTTCGTGAACGCGACGTGACTCGGGCATTCGTTTCCACGTCGCATACTCCCCCGTGTGTGCTTCGTGTTATAATTTATCAGTGCGTGT